GATTGCACCAAACTTTCTAATAATGACAACCAAATATTAGTACAGGAAATTACCCCATCAGAAATATGGCAGGCGCTCAAACGAATTGGCCCTGATAAAGCCCCTGGACCCGATGGCCTTAATGCCCAATTCTTCCAAAATTATTGGAACATCGTGGGATTTTCAGTAACTAATATTGTTAATATTTTTTTCCCTAATAACAAGCTGCCTGATTTCCTTAACCAAACAAGGATAATACTCATCCCTAAAAATACTAACCCTTACCTAATCAACCACTTTCATCCCATTAGCCTTTGCAATGTTGCCTACAAAATCATATCTAATATCCTTGTGAATCGCATTAGACCATTTATAAATAACCTCATTACACCTTTCCAGAATGCATTTATACCCAAAAGAATGATTAGTTATAACATTTTCATGGCTCACGAAATGTTACATAACATGAAGAAAAACAAATCCAAACATGGACTTATGGCCCTGAAATTGATTTAGAAAAAGCATACGACAAACTAGAATGGAGTTTTATTCGTACGGCCCTATTAAATTATAATTTCCCACATAAGATGATAGACTGGATTATGCTTTGTATTGAATCATTGTCTTTCTCCTTAACCATTAACGGCCAATCCACGAAATCTTGGAGTTCTCAACGGGTTAGTCGACAAGGAGACCCGATTTCCCCCTATATTTTTATCCTTTGTCTAAACTTTCTTAGTTTAAAATTTATTGAAGGCCAAAAAGCGGGTCAATTTGATGCTATTCAGCCCAGCAAAAAAGGCCTCCATATTCCCATTCTCTGCTTCGCGAATGATTGCATCATTTTCTCCAGAGCTAATGATAAATCGATCAATTTTATACAAAACATTTTGCACAAGTTCGCCTCTGAATCAGGTTTGAATATTTCATGGCAAAAATCAAAAGTTTTTTTCTCAAACAATATGACACCTATTAGGAAACGGGAAATATGTAAAAAAACTCAACATAAAACGAGGTAGTATAGGAGAAAAATACCTTGGCCTTCCGTTGGTTATGAACCGTATCACAAAAAACTCGTTCTATGATATCGTTTTAAAAACACAAACAAAAATCACGACTTGGTACAACAAATTCTTGTCCTACGCGGGCCGAAGTACCCTTATAAACCATGTCCTTAACACATTGCCCAATTAGACCATGCACACCTTCAAAATCCCGACCACGACCATAAATAAAATTAACTCGATTAACAAAAGATTCTTGTGAAATGCTAGTCCTCATTCCAATAAAAAAAAGTCCCATACAATGGCATACTTTATGTCAATCAAAAAATCAGGGAGGGCTGAGGTTCAAAGATCTAAAGGTTATTAACAAGGCGCATACCCTTAAATTTGGATGGAGATTAATGATGAAACCAAACTCCATTTGGGCAAAATTGATAAAAGGAAAACACTATCCAAATATTGATATTTTAAATGCTCCTCACTCGAAACCCTATCATAGCATCTTATGGAAAAATATTTACAAAACAATTCCCCTTCTTAAAAAATGTTATCTATGGATCCTTGGAGATGGAAAAACAATAAATTTTTGGTTTGACAAATGGGTTGACAACTTTACAATCGCGGAATATACCAACGAAATACCCCGGGATCTCCATCAGATGAAAGTCTCACAGTTAATTGATAAACAACACATGGAATCTAATACTTGTTTGAATATTCTACCTCCTTTTATCATCAACAAAATATATGCCATACCTATCCCTGTTTATAAACGAAAGGATTATATTAGATGGACCCATGACATGCATGGAATTTTTACCCTAAAAAGTGCATATCTATGGATAATGAATAACCTCACTGAACCATCTCTGCCCTGGAAATGCATTTGGGATCTTAACACCACCAATCGAATTAAATTCTTCGCTTGGCAATAGCGCATAACTTTCTACCAAATCTCTACTTTCTTTCTAAACGAAAAATAACGGAATCAAACTTATGCCCTCTTTGCAAAGAATTTCCAGAAACCAACTCACACATATTCCTGCAATGTACGGCATTCAAACTCATCATTAACAAACTTCCCATAGGGAATGTTAATGGGGATATTAATTTCTGCATTTTGCTTAACCAAGCAAGCAATAACCCATACAAACCAAGCTTTCTAGCAACAATTTTCTGGTTAATGTGGAAGGCTAGAAACAACTTCATCTTCAGAAATATTAACATAAATCATTATACTATATGGACAAATGTTAGCCAATATATCAACATAACTGACAAGAAAATAATGATTCCCCAAATCCTAACCCTTAAATGGAGTACTCCACCAAAAGGCTGGTTCAAATTGAATATTGATGGATCAGCACTGTCAGACCCGGGAATTGCAGGAATAGGAGGAATCATTCGTGATCACTTGGGAAAATTCGTTTGCGCCTTTTCAAAATACATTGGGATTGCGTCTAATAATAAAACAGAAGTATGGGCTCTTTGCATGGGACTCAAAATTGCAGCTGACTTTGATATAAATAAACTCATTATTGAAACTGATTCAACTTTTCTTATCTCTTGTGTTGACATGAAGGAGGCCCTTCACAACTCCCTCCAGACTCTGCTCCAGGACTCATGGAAGATATTGACTAGGTTTGATCAAGTTCAGATGACGTTCTCATACAGGGAATTGAATAGTGCGGCGGATATTTTGGCTAAAAAAGGAACTACTATACAACCAAACGAACTTATGTTTTTTGAAACTTGCCCTGATTTTATTCAGGAAATTTTGAATAAAGACATATCATACGTGTTTTTCCGTTGTACTACAAATCCCTGTAACCATACTTTTGTTTTGACTATATAATATATATATATATCATGTTTTTGTTGTTAAAAAAAATTAGGAGGTGGGGGCCAATTAGAAGGGTGAAGTTTCACTTTTGTCTATCTGAACTATATCCAACGTATAAAAAACCTCTATGTACTTCAAAATTGACCAAAACAGTTAAAAAATTGACCACCCTAGTGTACTATTCATCACGTGTACTTATATGCACCGATTAATTTTGTATTTTGAGTTGGAGAAACAACGCATGTTTACTTCCACTTTTTCATAAGTACCTTGCACCGCTAGTCCACCTCACTGTATTATTTTGAATCGTAGAAAAAGTTCACTTATTATAAAACTAACAAAAAAAGACTCTATGAATATTATTCAAAGGCACATTGACGCATGTGGCTCACTCCCCATTTGTGCGACTATATCTCTTTTAGTATGAAATGACATAAATACCCATATATGAATTTGACCAATATTTCAACTTTAGTTGTAAATAATTTCACTTTCAGGAATTTTTTTAAGATGTGAAATGACAAATCATAATTTGGTGTTTTTTTTATGTAATGGAACTTTTTAATGCTAATATATAATTTTCAAGTAATTTGATATAAATAAAAAAGATTAAAAAAAGGACTGAAATTAAATAATTTAACTTGATATTTTGAACATAATTGGAATTAGTTTTTCATTTTCAAACAAAAATGGAATTTTCCTGAAAGTGCCAACTTCTATCCGTCTGATTACCACCCCTACATTTGTGAGTAATATATAAGTTATACAACTTTGCAAACTAGCAATCAATAGTAGTATATCTTTGGGATGAAAGACATCACTAATTAATACCCTCATAGGTTAAACTTATAGCTTTTAGGATGATATTCATTATACGGTACGTCATTCATTTTTAAGGGGAATCTATAAGAACTCATATTTAAGCATAGGTTGCGGCTATAAGCAATACTAATTCCACTTGTGCAAGACTAAATTAAAGAAAGATTCTAAAAGATTCCATTTTATTAAGATGAAATGACAAATATATCCATAAATTAAATTGGCATTTGTTTGCTCATGCAAGACCAATAACAAATAATAATAAAATATGAAACAACTAAATTTCGACATTAAGGTGTCGAATATATGTCCATAAATTCGACACCTTAATGTCGAAATTTAGTATATTTGGACTAATTTGCTAACAGTTAAATTTCGACACTAAGGTGTCGATTTTATACTCCAAAATCGACATCTCAATGTCGATTTTTACCTATAAAATTCGACATGTACATGTCGACCGTGTCTGCGCGGAATTTTTTTAAAAATAAAAAAATATGAAACAAATAAATTTCGACATTAAGGTGTCGAATATATGTCCATAAATTCGACGCCTTAATGTCGAAATTTAGTATATTTGGACTACTTTGCTAACAGTTAAATTTCAACACTAAGGTGTTGATTTTGTACTAAAAAATCGACATCTCAATGTCGATTTTTGCCAATAAAATTCGACATTTACATGTCGACTGCGTTTGCGTGGGATTTGTTTTGGAAAAACGAGATTCTAGCTATAAAAACACATAAATTCATATTTTCTTGGGTTTTTCCACCGTAGATTCTTCTATTTTGATGTCTTATGACTCCATACTTGCCATCTTTGTAAGATTTGTTGAGTTTTGATGATTTTGAATGTTTAGGTTTTGTGGGTTTATAGATGAGGAAGGAGAAAGGTTTTGATGGAGAAGATGAGAGTTGGTCTTGTGGTTTTGTGATATGGTTTTTTTTGTTTTGAGTGTTTTGTATTGCACATTTGGAATTTTCTATTTTTTTAACAAGTAAGGGTATTATAGTATTTAGACATTGAAAAATTTAATTTGGTCTTGCTCAAGTAGAATTAGTCTTGCATATAGCCGCAGCCTTAAGCATATTCAAGAACCGTATACTTGTCATTGAACTTCTCACAGTATATCTATTATATATTCCCAACTTTCAGGATTTCAATTTTTTTTTAAGTCTACGAAATCGATCTTCCAACAAGGCTTTAATGAATATATCCGCAAGGTGATCTTCGATTTTCACGAAATTCACAACTATATTTCCTTTTTTAGACCGATCACGAATAAAATGGTGTTTTATCTCAATGTTCTTAGCTTGGAGTGAAAAGATGGACATTTGGTGATACAAATAGCACTAGAATATGTATATATGTTCGTTTATGTTCAAAACAAATGAAAGTGCCTGCTTCCAAATCTGCTCTTACCAAAAAGCATAATACAACCAACACAAAAAATACATATGAACACTTGAATGTGTGAGCCCACGCACAATACAAACAAACGGGCACACTTTATATATAGCAATATATATAAATCAGTTAAAAAATAACAGAAAATAAAAAATAAAATAAAAAAATGGACACACAGTTTTACATACCTACATAGGCACAATTAATCTCGTCAATGCTTCTTCGGTAATAGTGGCTCCTCCAGGTGAGGGGTTTCGTCTATAGAGGTGGAAATTTCCAAGTTACCCGACTCGAGCTGAGAGAGAGAGAGGTCCTCTTGTCTCTGTTTCGATAATCTTTGGAAAATGCTTGTTTTATTTTCCATCATAGAAGATGGTGTTCGAGGGGAGTTGGTTGATGATGTTTTAGGTGAGTTGTTTAAGCTCTGAACACGTTGAAGACAAACTTGTACTGCATCGTGTACTCGCACGAAGAACCATTGTTTGCCTATCAGATCAACTACCCCAGATCTTGTTAGTGTCACCAGAACATCTCTATTTGGATTGGATATCGCAATCTGAAATTGAAAAATAAATCGAAAGAAATTTGTTTTAGTAAAAATGAAGTTCACTTATCTATGAATATCTTGCAAAGTACCTGAATATTCCGTGACTTGTATTCCTGGTGCAAGTCTTTTAAAGCTTGAACGGCACTCGAGTCTATATAAGTAGTGGCTGAAAAAAACAATAAATGCGTCAACATATGAGTGGGAGATTTAATTCTGAAGCATGAGATTCTGTAGGTGATGGTAGTCGGAAGTTATAGATTCTTTTCGACAACACAACTTAACTCGAGGAATACAGATCTCAAGTATTACGAAATACGTGAATAAAGTAGATGGAAGTTTAATTGAGACTTACGTGCCATCTCAAGTATTACGAAATGAATTCTTGTAACTCCAGGTCCACGTCCTATGGATCCATCCGGTTCGAGTTCATATTCTCGGAGTCTAGGGATAGAAAACACGAAGGTGTAAGAATTTATAGAAATTACAAACGAAACATTTTATGTAGTTACATAGATAAAGTTCCTCGCCTGTCTTTGATGTAACTTATATTCGCAAAATAGATTGGCGCATCAATACGAACAATCACTAGTCCATTGTATGTATATGCTTCTGGATACTGCTGTAAGTTTCTATACACGGTAGTGCCAGGTAACCGACCCAAGATAGCTGTAAAACAAAGAAATGTTCAGCTTCAAAATTAAAATAAGTACAAAATCTTACAATTTCTTGGATTTTATTTTGTTAAGAACTAATGAGAGCTTAGTTATTTTCTGCATTGTACAAGAGAACCCAGTTTTGGAGAGTAAACAACAACCACAATAAGAAAAAGCATAATATGGAAGGTATACTTCCATGTATAAATTTGGACTTGTATAAAGAAAAACAATCCTCTATAGTTTACAGCATGACTTACCGATATGGGGATTAGCTGATTCGTGGATGACAAAAGCAAGGGAAACACCAACCTAAGTAGAAAAAAGAAACACAACAAATTGCAGTTAATACAACAGCCGGAACCAAAAACATATTGTGTGATTTTGATGTTACGATCCAACCGGGTGCAATTAAATGTCATGTAAATTAACACTGTTGATAAAAGAAGAAGTTATGTCGAATACAATTCAAGATTACACTTGGGAAATCATTGATCTTTCTAACAATGTTACATCATATGAATTACTTCAAACTTATTTTAGTCAAAATGTAAGAAAAAGTATAGATGCAATAAACATGCACATAAACAAAAGAAATGTATGTATACTTACACCAACAAGAACACCAATCTCTATTCCAAGGAACAAGGTAACGACGCAAGTAATCGTCCAGAGGAGAAAGTCTCTCTTATCCACCCTCCATAAGAAAGTAGCTTCATCATAATCCACCTGAAACAACAAAGTATAGTGCATTCAATGTCGCAATCTGGAGAAACGAAAACAATACAGTTTCTACCATCTACGTGCACATGATTCAGCAAAAACTTAAGAAGTCAACATTTAAATAAGTTTCAACGATCCACGGTTAAAATTCATGCCTGATAGACATAGCATTTAACAGGACACAATAGGAGAACTTCACTCAAACTGAGAAAACCAATTTTAACTCCTAGAACATAAAACAAATGCATACGCCGCACATCACTATTGATTTCAAATTCACAAACTTACATGTGCAGCGGTAAACAGTATACATGGTTTTTTTATGTAGATCGAAAAAAACAATGATTTTCAAACAAAAAGGCTCAAAGGGAGCATTTAATATCCAATTGGCAATTGAACTTGAAGGAATGAACTTGTGAACATGTAATGACTGAATAGTCGAGGTTTTTAATTAAGTGTGGATTCATGGGAAGATTGACTTTTTGATTAATATCAAATATAAAACCACCATTTAAATGGTAAGAAGCAAGACGGCGATGATCGATTCAGCAGTGAATTCTTTATATTATCAAATAACTATTGGAATACCTCAGCTTCTTTCCTTAGGATATGCATTTTTTGCATAAAATGCAACTGATCTGTAAATTACACACTACCAATCATGGCAATGTATTGTAGTCTAATCAATATTCAATAGTTAATTCTTCAATCTTTGATGATCATAATAGCAAATCAGCAACTAAAGACGCCTTATATCTGCAGTCTCTTTTGTTAAAGTCTTGCAAAATGTGCAGCATTTCTCGCTAGCGAGATGCTTTGTGATGTTAATAAAAATTTATATGAATGTCAACTTAATGCAATTAATGTTTGTTCTTAATTTAGATACATGATATGCAAATTGAAATGTGGATTCTCTTATTGAAGTTTGGATCTTAGATCATGTCTACTTCACTAAAATATTTTGTTTATTAGGATTAAATACTAGTGCAAGCTCATCGCAACCTATCTACATTCTACACATTATATTTACCGAGATAAAATAATGCTACAAGCCTATTATGCTTCATTAACAAAGAGAAAGAAACAGCAACGCAATACTTTTTTTAGTGGAAGTTTTCCAAGAAACATGTTACTTAAAACTTCTATCCCTCTCTTTTAACAGATTAAATTTTCAAAACTTTGAAAATCTGCATTTTCGGTCAAATCTCAAATCCTTGATCTTATGTAGGAGATGAGTTGCATAGATTGAGCAGTAGAAAAAAAAAAAGTGCCTATAGACTTTCCAAACTACAGTACAACTCACCAGTCCAACAACAGCAGAAATCACGATGGCAGCCAGAGCACACTGCAACGAGACACATTGGAATCATTAACAAGAAAACAAATTAAGTCAAAGAATCAAAAATCAAAATCACTCCCGATGCAATGATATCGCAAACATTCAGCACTACAATTTTATTTCTTCTTTTTTTTGGTTTTCAGAACCTTGCCATATACAAGATGGCTTGCACCGTTGAAAGATTATATTTTCCATAGAGAGAACAGTTTCCAGAAAAGTAATTTCGGGAATCCATAACCATAAAACATGGGTGATGAACACAAGATTCTAATTTCATGCTGAAGAATTACAACACTAAGAGACTCCCTCAGATAAAAATAAAACCCCCTCGGTTAATAATTGTGACAGCAGAAGAAAAGTATCAACCTGGGGTATGTATTCAAACAATGGGGTCATGAATTGAAGCGCACAGCCCATAATAATTCCCATAACTAATCCAGATAACCCAGTTTTGGCTCCACTTTCATGATTCACTGCTGACCTAGAAAATGATCCTGCATCACATATAATTATGGAGAAATGAATACAGTGATTATAATTAGACCCTAAGCCTTAAGGGGAACCAACTTAGTGGTTAAGAAACAGAGACTGACCAGTTGTAGGGTAAATTGAAAAGAAAGAACCAACAATATTCGCCACACCAAGGCCAAATAACTGTCATAAACAAATGGTAAGTCTTAGTACGGAGAATTCACAGCCCTTTCCATGATCAATATGAATCTAGTATTGAGATCACGAAATGAATTCAACTATGCATAATGATAATAACCGGCTCTTTTTTGTTACTTGACAAATGAATATGACATGCAAAAATCAAAATCAAGTAGAGCTATGGTTGACGAAAGCATACCTCTTGATTGGAATCCAACTCATATCCATTCTTTGCTGCAAGTGCTTTGGCAATCCCCACAGATTCCTAGACATAAAAATGCATATTAAATCCCAGACGTGAAATAGAAAAGAACCTAATAATGGAGGTGTAATTGATTAATTTTCTCTTACCAAAATAGCCACACCAGTAATGAGAACTGTTGTAGGAATCAAAGACTTTACATACCCAAATTCCTTTGGGATGGAAAACTTTGGCAGCCCCTGGGGTATTTCCCCAACCTAGAACAGCAATAAAACTATTATTGATAAATAAATATAGTTCGCCAAAGTTTAAACTCTTAGTAATGACAGTTCAAGATGGAAACAGGTTATTCTGATTATTCTTTACAGTTCTGCATCTAGATACTTATCAATTTATGCAATCCTCACCAGTGAAATTGAAGCTGGATGATACAGTTTTGCAAAGGTTGTGCCCAGAACTACAGCTGTAAGGGGACCAGCTGCTCTCAAAAACCGCAAAGATTTCCTAGTTTTTCCCTGCAAGGAAAGACCAACAAAAATATATTTAATATGAAGAGGTATAAAGACTAATACGTAGACACTCGAGCAAAAACTAAGTGAAGTCTTACCAAGTGCTTCATGGTTAGAAGAATAGCTAATATAATAGAGCCCATGACAAAAGGTTGCCACATGAACTAGAGAGGAAACAGAAAACAAAAAAGAAAAAACAAATTAAATCCATGGTTAGAATAGAACACCGGCGTATGTACAACAAATGAAGCGTAACAGAAACATAAATCAAAGCATATATTTATAAACTGAAACTTGAAAATATTATATCAGTGGCTATCCACCAACCACAATGGCAGAAATTGGGATCAAAGCTCATAATTTCATTGAGAAAATAGAGACATACTGCAGTAAAGGGACTACGTGTTTGATGGTTAATCTGGTTAGAGATATTTAATTATGTAGAGGCTACTCTTGCATCATTCGCCCACTATAGTTTCAATAATGAAAATAATATGGTTCATTACTTTTCATGTTTGAAAGTTATATCAACTTGTTCTTTTTCTCAGAGTGTGCAGGGATAAATATCCATTGTCAGCTAAGAGTATAATCTTATTGCAATTCGTTCAATGTTTAATTTGTTGTAGGAATGAAGCTCTCTAGCATAATAAGATAGAGCTAAAGCCAAACTTCTTTTGACTTTTTGTTTTCTCCACATGTTCCACCAACCATCCTTATATTTGAGTTTATTCGTTTATTGTCTGTATAAGGAAAAAAAAATTCCTTACTTTTTAAGTTACTGTCTTAACTTTTCGCAGCTTTTTTTCCATTCACGATAAGCCCTTTCCAACAAAAAGTTTACAAAACCATGTTGAACATGTGTTAGGTATAGCCTAAGAGCCAAATAATTTGGGGACAACAGTTTACATTTTTCCTCATATGCAAAGTTACCAATAGAATTAGGCAAGAAGCTATAACGATTACATGTTTAAACTAATAACGACGAACCCCTAACAACAATTAATGGGAAGATGAAAACATATAATCCATTAATAGCAAGCAACAATGAGCTCGACTTAAGTTAGCATTTGGAAACAACAGAGCAAATTGGAAGTTAAAGGCAAATGCCAAGCTACACAATAAATCTAACTCACCATTACTAGATTCATCATTATATATAACTTATATTCCTACACTAGTCCACTAGCGATTCAATGACAAAAACTAGCACAGTAGTGTACAAGCTAACCTCACTACTCGTCCCAATTGGTTTTAAGATAAAAGCTTCCTAGATAATGAACTTATTTTTTTTAGTGAATGTCAAGATCAGTAACTTAACAAGCTTATTAGGAGGCATATAGATCCATAGAATACAAGGCAAGCAGCAAAGAGCAAATAATGGGGACCGTCCAATATTATTTTTCCTCCATGACTTCATGTGGGAAACCATGATATAGGATAATGGATATACATGCATATACTGATGAAGCTGCAGATCTTTACTTTCATATCACTAAATCACATAACATAGGAAAACATGGGATAATTTTAACGAAACTAATTTTCAAAGGAATAAGATAGTGCAATGTCTGCTGCCGTGAAGAGATCATACATAAAGTAACAGAGGAACAGAGTTCTTTCTCAGCAGTGGTTGTAACACTCAGCGAGAAACATACCTTATCTGCTCCAAAAATAATACTCTTGGCCAGTGGAATAATTTTGCTGCTGCGTTCTATTTCATAGCCCAAGAAATATTTTGCCTGAGACAAGGCAATTACAACGGCTGAAGCAGTAGTAAAACCAGAAATCACAGAATGGCTGATGAATCGAAGAAGCCATCCAAGCCTAAATGTGGAAAAAATGAAATATAAGAACTATTTATGAACTGAAAATGTGTAGAAAAAGTTACAGAAGTTTGCAATGAGATTTGAAAAGGACATCATTTTCTACAGCAGTTTGTGCAGTCACTCAATTTGTAGTGAACAATTCAAAAATATAGCCCGCGGAAGGGAACAAAGAATACCAGTCATCACTTGGTGCAATAGTAATATGAATATATGATGTCATGCCTCAGTCCTGTCAATACCTAAAACCTATGTTATCACACATTCACACTGCATAGTTACTCATTAGTGTCTGCTCACTAAGAAAGCTAAGATCATATAAAGCCATTACTCCAGTCAGTCATATGTTCAGTCAAGAATCTATATAATGTCACTTATACATCAAATATCTGAATGCATCAAAATGCGGCTAAATGAGCACAGGATATCAGAAGCCAAAGTTAAAGACATTAGACTGTTATTTGATCCACATGGTTCACATTAAATGAAGTACAATTTTGAGAATACTGACGAAGGAACAAGAATCAAGAAAATCAGTACCTTAAAAGCCCCATAATGCATTCGAAAACACCAACCATAAGTGCCAACAAAATTGCAAGTTCGGTATACAACTGCTCTGATGAATCAACTATGTTGCCCAATACATTAGACACCAGGAGGGAAGTCAATGCAACCGGGCCAATAGCAAGCTGGCGAGACGACCCGAAAATGGTGTATATAAATATGGGCACAAAACCCGAGTCTGAATTAAAAAAAAAGAAAAGGCGAACATAAGTCAGACTCGGCCACAAAAAATGGATCCAACAGATGATAAAACTCAAATTAAAAGGATAAAATGAAAAACGGCATTCGGGACAACTGGCAAAGCACCGTCATCTAATAATAATAATAATAATCTAACTGTATGATCAACTTGAATGCCGGACAATATCGACACTTACATTTGCCTATTTAAACAAAACCGAAGGAAGAACAACGATAAGGAACAGCAGTAGCAAAAACGAAAAGGACGAAACTTACAAAGTCCATAAATGGGGTGAAGCCCAGCTAACTTTGCATAAGACATTGACTGTATTTGCACATCAAAAAGCAGAGACCACAAAATATCATCAATAACAACTATAGACAGGATTGAAATATCAATTTAGCCGAACAAGGGCGGAATCATGATTAATTTGACCTGAGGAACGAGCATAACACCGACGGTGATGCCAGCCATGAGGTCGGGCTGGAGATACTCGCGCCATTCGTAGGTGCTAATCCAACGGTAGCACGGCAGGAACAGCTGAATCCACTCCGCCCTAGTCATCCGCTTCATTCTCGCACTCCATTTCCCCCAAAACGACGGCGACGAAGACGACGGGGCGGCGGAGGGGGAGGGGTGCTGCAACTGGATGATTTTGACGGGGCGGTTCGCGGCGCCGTAGGAGGTGAGGTCGCCGACGCTGGGTGAGGAGTAGCGGTTTATCCCCTCCATGACGGAGGCAACCGCCGTAGCAAAACGGCGGCGCGTGTGGGAGAATTAATCAGGTACGATTTTGTAACTGAAATTTGTTGGGGATTGGCTGAGAAGGAACAGAGACCAATTGAATTTGTGCAACTCTTTTTTACATGGAAATTTTCCTTCTGCGTTTTACTGCGAAACAGTTGTCGTTAGCGAAATAATAATATCTACAATAGTTGTATTTCTGGATTCATACAATTGACGACGAACACTACTTTTATAGTAGATGCATATGTTTTTCCACGTGGACATATATATGAATATATATTTAGAAATATTAAATTAATTGTGATAAAATGACTAAATTTCAATTTCAGGGGCGTATTTGGCAAGGGGGCCTATGACCCCCAAGATTATTAAAAAACAAAAAAAAAAAAAGAGGTAATATTTTATAAATATGAGTTTTGGCTTCCATCTTGTAGCGGGTTTTTTTTACTGAAATTAGCTTATTTATAGCGGTACTTTCATTTCAACTTTCTAAAAAACTCAAAACGCTCTCAACTAAAAAAAGAATTTCGTGTTTATTTGATAAATCGACTGTCCGACGATAACAAATAACATAATGGCCGATTCAGATGACTTCTACGAAATAAAATCAAAGAAATTAGTGAAATTCCTATTTTTTCGCGACATTATCGTGTTGTGCAGCACGAGAATCCAATTTTTTTGGGTTTTCCGTGCTACACAAAACCGCAAATTCAAAAAAAAAAAATACAAAGAACAATCGTGATGTGGGGAACGGGAACACCAAGTTCTCGTGCCCTGGAAGACGGAAACATGGGTTTCCCGTGCCCTAGAGGACGGGAACCATGAAAATTTTCGAAAAAAAAAAAAAAATTTGAAGCTCCCGTTTTCTAGAGCACGGAAACTCGAAGAAAATTCAAGTTCTCGTGCTCTGCAGAACGGAGGATTCAAGCCGTTTGATCTCCCGTTCTGCAGAGCACGCAAACTTGAATTTTCTTCGAGTTTCCGTGCTCCAGAAAACGGGAGCTTCAAACATTATTTTTTTTTTTTTTCGAAAATTTGCTAGATCTAATCATAAACATGTGTTTTTACCTAAATTGAAAATCTACCGGAATCGAGTCTCGTTTGCTACGGTTTCAAAGTCGAAAAAATTTACGAAATTCAAATTTCTAGAGAGAGTTTGGGAATATGAGAGAGAAATTGAAAAAAAAAATTAAATGAAAAAGGTTCCGCTGCAAATAAGTCAATTTCAATAAAAGTCTCGCTGCAAATAGCAACACCCTTTTTGTAAATATAGGTTTTGGTCCTTTAATGTTTTTTTTCTCCATAGTCTTATGTAAATTTTATTTATGTTTTCATATTTATCATTACAATATATGTATAGTATTATGATTAAAGTTTATTATAGAATCTAAATATTTACTTATTTTGTAATTTTTTTTTTATGAATATCTCCAGAGACAATTGAGCGATGTCTTCGAACCCTTTAGATGTCTTCGAACCCTTTAGTTTCTGTAGGGTGATCAAGAATTCAAGAAATCAGCCCCGCAAGAAGTGGCCAAATGACCCGCATTTCGAATCCTCTTGTCAACCACATATATGTCAAGTTTGGCATATGTAGTTTACGCCTAGTATTATTTACGTGTCACGTTTAGTTTGTAAGTTATTGAATGAGAGACCAAGTTTTTTGAATAATTTACTACTATAGGAATAAAATTATATTATGGAAAATTATGTACTCAGACAATCCCCTGTGAAGTGCAAACGTAATGGAATAAGTAAAATGAGTGTCCAAATTTTAATTATTTTGTGATAGAAACACCCTCATCTTAATTAAAATTGTTCACATTAATTAATTTTTAACCACTATACAAAATAATTTTCGAAAATTGCAAAGCACAAAAGTTGTGGATTTTTTTTTATTTTGTTTTAGCTTTCAAAAGCAGCTTGAATCGTTTAATTAAATTTGTTCGTTTTTTTTTTTTCATAAATTTATGATATTCTTTTACCATGATTGAGAGTAATTTAACTGTCATTTGGTTAATATTATAGTCATATATCCTTAGACAATTAAATTAAATAATAGTTTTGACCATGATCAAAATCAAATCTCATATATTACAAAATAGAAACACATTAAACATATTAAAAAAATGGAAATTTATAATAAGAATGTCTAATTCTAAGAGTTGTCAATGAACAATATAATTTCTTTTCTTTTTTTTTTTAATAATTTTCGAAAAGCCAATGAAAAATATTTATGCAGTATAAAAATGGAAAGCAGCAGCCAGACTGCGAGACCTATTAAGCTTATTATTGCTGGATAAGAAATCAGAGTGAGCATAATGTATCTGGACGTTAACACAGTCAGGTTCAACCATGCGATCTGACTTATCATGTTGTAGAGGAGACGTGAGAAAAAAAGTACAAACGTGCACGATTCAATGCCAGCACAACATTTTTTTTTATTATTTATTATTTGGGTGCTGTTCAATTTATTATTTTTTAAGGAATTAATTGATATGATCTATTCTTTTTGTGTATGCAAGAAAACTTTTCTTTAGAATTTGTAATTAATTCAAAATTTAATATATACGTACGTGTTAACAAACTATTAAAGAAGAAAAAAGCAAAGATGAATTGACATAGTAATATAGAGAGAAACAAATATATTATTCTCTAGTTCTTCTTGTGTATCCAACTCAATACAATGGATCACTATATATAGTACAAGTAAGACCATATTGAAAGGTCATGAGTTACAAGGAATTATGAGCCTATAATGGTGAGTAAATGGTGGGAATAGTGGTGGGAGTAATGGTGAGTAATGGTGGTCATCCACACCCTTAAGTTTCATAACACTCCCCCTTGGATGTCCACCATCTATGGAATATGTCTCGTTAAAACCTTGTTAGGAAAACTCGATGGGACAAAACCTAAACGAAGGAAAAAGAGTACATATCCATCTGAAGCTTGTGAACGTGACACTATGTACATGTTCAATAGTCGATTAAGCTAATCGACTATGCTCTGGTAGTCGATTAAGGTTGATCAACTCTAGTTTTTTTTTTTTTTTTTATTGATTCCAATTGTATAAATCAATTATGATGTTGATATATTTTTTTGTTTTTGTAAAATGTAGTTGATTTTGCATTTTTTTGCAGTTGTGATTTGTTATTTTTATTAGCAGATTCTTAATCGACTATGCTCATAGTCGATTAAGAAAACTGATACAGAAAAGAAGGAAAAATAACGGAAGAAAAAAAAGGGAAAAAAATAACGCTGAGCACGTGACCCAGTGGCCAATGATGATGTGGCGGGCAGAGGCAAAGCTAGAAAACATAATGGCTCAAAATGAGTGTGAACTTTTCTCAAATGGGGAGAAATATTTTGGACCTCTCTCCATTAAAAGAAGTAATAAGGGGGTTTCTTCAAAGAGTCCCTTGAAAAAATAAATCTAAAGAACAAACATCATTAAATATGTCGATTAAAGATCCTAATTCAATTTCACTAATCATCTATAACAAAAAATCAAAATAAAAATCGAACATAATAATGTAAAAAGAAAATAAATCCATTTATTTGGCTCAATTGATGTTTTATACGATTCAATTAACTTTTCTGCATTTCAATTGATTAGTTACTCCGTTCAATCAATTGCTTCTCTTTTTTATCATAATATTCATCTAATTTTAAACTCTATTTCTTATGATGAACCTAGACATACCCACAATCGGGACAAAACCGAATTCTGACCCGGATCAAAACCAGGTCAACGGGGCCACAAATTAACATTTTGACCCCTTGGCTAATTCAGGGTCGGTTAAGGATATGATATATTCCAACTCATGAATTAGGGATTGCAATCGACGGGTTTTGCAATCTCCATCCCCATAAAAATCCCCGTTGGATATTTCTATTTCCGTCCCGGTCAATACTATGCAGGTACCCACCCGTCAAAATCACCGATATATATATATATATATATATATATATATATATATATATATATATATATATATATATATATATATATATATATATATATATATATATATATATATATATATATATATATATATATAAATAAGATTCAACTAAAAAAAATCAATTTAAAATAACAGTAGAATCTTATATATAAAAGAAAGATATTTTGAACTAAAACATAAACCTAAACCTAGGGGTGTTTTAGTAAATGCAATATTCTTGCATTTTTTTATTATTTTATTTCCTCTCCATTTGTTGGGAGTTTTTTTTTTTTGTATTTTATTTTTCCTGCAGTTTTTTAGTTCACACCATAACACCCACACACAAAAGAGTAACTTCCCACTATCTGTCAACAATTCACAAACAAAAGAAAAACCTCCCACTATCTCTAAACTTATGTCCTTGCTCCAACACAGGATGAATGGAACTTCTATTGTATTATCACGTAAAATTAGTTTGCGTAAGTTTTACCATTTCAATGTTTTCGAATTTCAAATGTTGATTGAAAAAAACTTTTAGGCATTTTACCTTGGATGGCATTTGCTTTTCAGATTTTAACGGCGACGGAATTGGTATGCATTTTGTTTTCCATTTATTTTCATTGGTTTTAGTATTCAATTACGATTGGGTTTTGCACAAAAAAAAATTATTCTGTAAGATTGATCTCAGATTACTTAGTTGTATGTGAATATATGTTTTTCTCTTTGGCGAATTATTGTTTGTTTGCAATGAATCAATTGTTTTGAGAGGGAAGAAGAGGAGAATGAAGACGAATAAAGAGAAAAAAGAAGAAACAAAAGAGGAGGAGGAGAAGAAGAACAAGAAAAAAAAAAGTAGAAGAAGGAAGAAGAAAAAGAAGAATGATGAGAAAGGAGACTGAGAAAAAGGAAGAAAAAGAAGAAGGAAGAAGAAAAGGAAGAATGAGGAGAAAGGAGACTGAGAAAAATGAAGAAAAAAGAAGAAGGAAGAAGTAGAAGAAGATATAGAAGAAGAAGATCATGAAGAAGAAGAATAAAAATGCGGCGACGAAGAAGAAGAAGAAGACGAAGAAGAAAAGGGAAGAACAAGGAGGAAGAATAAGAAGAAGAGGAAGAAGAAAATGAAGAACAACAAGGAGGAGGAAGAAGAAGAGGCGGGAAGATGTATAAGAGAAAGTCGAATACGAGTAAGACGAAGAAGATGAGAGGGACATAGAAGACGAGGATGACGAAGAGGAAGAAGAGAAAGAGGAGGAAGAGAAAGAGGATGAAGATGAATAAACGGAAGATGGATAAGAAGAAGATGAGGAATAGGATGAGGAGAAGATAGGAAGAAGCATGAAGAAGAAGCGAAAAGAACAAGGGAGGGGGAGGAGAAAAAGCAAAAGGAGAAGGATGAGGATGAGGATGAGAAGAAGAAGAGGAAGAGGAGGAGGATGAAGAAGAAACGTGAGTAGGAGGGAGGGTTTGTGAAGAAGAAATAGAGAGATGTGAGGGGTTTGTGTATGGAGTATTAAATAAAGAAAAATAAGATTTTTTATGTTTGTGTGACATTGATTTTCGTTAAAGGTATAAATGTCATTACATATTTATTATTTATGTGGTATTAAAATGAGAAACAATTGGTATTTAAAATCGCGGTCCCCTTTTTTAAATTTGTATTATTTATTATTTGACATATATTTTATATATTGACACTCTCTCTCTCTCTTTCTATATATATATATATATATATATATATATATATATACACACACACACAGATTTAGGGTGAAAAATATGTGCTACGATAAAATAAGATAATAGTAGTGCAATTTGAATTTCACATATATATTTAAATATTATTTGATACATTTTTTATTACTATTTGTCTATCATTTATTTAAACAATTTTTTTTTTCCTTTTGTCGAAAGCGTCCCGTGCAACGCACGGGCATGATTACTAGTTAAACATAAATTAAGTTAAAATAATTTACAAGTACAGGGCGGGGCAAGGTGACCTGTATAGCAAAACCCGTCCTCGCCCCATACCCAATTTAAAACTTTGTATTAATCCCCATACTCACCCCATATGGTTCTAACCTGCTAATTAATTGGTGGATATATATTTTTAAATTTTTGAAACATACGTTGATCGTCAAAATTTGATCGAACCGGCATTCGAATACCCACGAAGCTGGAATGAGAAATTTTGGTAACTATTATAGACAGAAAAGTGGTACTAGCAAGTGATAAAAGGTGATGAAATTGAAAAATTAATGTCTCAAATTCTTATTTCGATTTTCAACATAATAGAGCATGTATTTCTAAATACTCCATCAGCCCTTAGCACAAAATACATACGCATTAACTACTACATCGAACAAGCATTGTTTCTCGAAAGAGCATCACCGAGAAAGATTCTTGCAGAACATATACATACAGTAGCCATTGGAATAAAAGCAATAGAACATTCTATTATATATAATATGTAATACTACGTCGTACTAGGGCAAATTCATGCATTAACCTTGGGTGCCCATCCTGCGATAACAAATTCCTTTGCAGCCTTAGTTTTCTGGAAAGACTCCCGAGAGAAGAGCAGCTGAAACGGGAGAGCAAAGAAACAGCAGATTAGCCAAAGTCTGTCATAGATATGAACTAAGAATTCAACATCTTCCGCATTTTTCAACCAAATAAACAGGGTCGATTTTACGCATGCCCTATAGTGTTTTTGAACACAAACAACCAGTTTTAAGTAGTTGTTCGACCCGAGAGAATAACTGCATCCATTGTCTTGTAAGAATGAAGAAAAATGGATTTGTCACTTGGGAAATAATTGCATTGTATGCATGCATTCATAAAAACCGAAGAGTACAGGATAATTATTGAAAGGAGGCACATGCATGTTAAAAAGGGAGTACTCGTCGGAACAATATGTCAAAATAACAATGTTTAAAGATTGAAAATAACGCATTAAGATACCTTCATGTAGTTGTGCACGTGAGTCAAACTTTCAGGTACAGACCATTTCTTGAAATGGCCAAGAGCCACATCAAGATGGTAAAGCTTCGGCGCCAAACTCAAATCAACTGCACAGATGTTTTCTCCATTGACATATGGTCCCTGATTATTATCGAAATACGATTTCATAAGAAAATACCAATAATAATAATAATAACTGCAAAATATGTTTTCTTTTATGTTTTAACTTTTATAATATTCTTAATACAGAAGAAGTTCGGACCTTAGTACTCAGGTGCTCGTCCAATGCCTTCAGTTCGTCAATCAAAGCTTGCTCCGATCCATCGGTAGAGTCCTTGCTCTTCAAGAACTTGACAAAAGAAGGAAATACTTTGGAGCCTCTACGATAAAAAAAAGTCAAAGGCAACAGAAATTAGTACAATAATATACATATAGCAAAATACATTTAACCCCTATATTTCACTCGCTATATCGAGAGTCCATCCCGCAACAATTTTTGTTACAATGAAAGATAACTAATAAGAATCTTCGACAAGTTCAGATCTTTTATTCACTCAAAAAAAGTCACAGCCATTTAAAAAATCCTCGTAAATGTCAACTCTGTTTTAAATACCACCTAGCTCTGGACTCCCTTGTTTGACAGTATAGAATAACTGAGCAGGGTTAGAAGTCGAAACGAAAAATTGCATAAATTTAGGAAAACAAAAATAGGAAGGGCTTTTCTTGAAAAAAATCACCCCGAAAAGGAGAAAAAAGAAGGTTAAACACGAGTAGCAGGACAAATTGAAATAGAGTAATGTATACGGACAAAAGAAATACAATCAGATATAGACACAACATACACATATATAAAGCTACACATGTGGATTAAAAATGTAAGCACATTAGCGCAGCAGAAACTACACTTTGAAGGTGATCAATGCCGACAAAAAAACAACTACATCTTCAAGAAAAATATTGGGGCGGTTCACTGAGAAATCCGAGAGTTAGACGTTTTTGTAACGTTATCCAAAACTGCAAAATACTAAAGTGCGGCCAAGTTCCGATGCTTGAACTTATATCATAGAGAAAGCGCAGATATTTTAACGAATAATATATAAATACCACGCTTAGATTAATTAATATCCCGTCTCCATCTATAGTCTACCATCGGAATAATTCAGAACCGGACAAACTTATATCTATACAACAATCCGTACATCTGTACACTAATTCATCACCTCACACCATAAACACATCATCACATAAGAAAGTGAATTTAAATCAGCAAATCCAACAACCACAATTCAATTCCATGAAAAATATAAACAAGACAATTAGAAGTATATAAACACGGCAAGGAAAAAAACGGAGAGAATGATATTCATACACAGACGAGACTTCAGTAGGAGGAGAGAGAGAAGGGTTCGGGTATTTCTCCTCGATGATACCGACAATCACATCGGAGTCGGCGATCCATTTGTCATCGAATTTTATCACCGGCACCTTCCCTTCTGGGTTCACTTCCAAAAACCTAAAAATCCCCAATTAAATAAGGAATTGAATAGAAATATTTAGACATACAAAACCATAATAAAACCAGTTGATTTCAGACAATTACCATTGGGGCTTGTCGTCGGTGTTGATCAAATGCAGCTTGTAATGGACTTTCTTCTCTTCCAAAGTCAATTGAACCCTCTGGCTAAAGGGGCCTGTGATATCGAAAGAAATCGTCACACACACACACAGAGAGAGAGAGAGAGAGAGAGAGAGAGAGAGAGAGAGAGAGAGAGAGAGAGAGAGAATTACAGTCGCCGAGAATGTCGGGAGCGCCGGCGGCAGCCTTGACGCAGATCTCCACAGCCATGTATGTAGCTAGATTGTGTGAGTATTAGGTGTTCGTGAAAATGTTTGAGCAGAAAAGGTGAGATAAGAATGGAGGAAATTTTATATACAAGTGAGATTTCTAGTAGCTTCTATATGCACGAGAAGAATGTGATGCTGATGGGAATTAGTTTGGATGAATTCCGCCTGTAATTCCGGCTTCCTAAAATTGAGAAAAATTTACCAAAAAGTCCCCACTAATAACATTTAACTTTCAACTAAAGTCTCGTTCGATTACACTAAAAATAACAAGGATTGCCCTAAATATAACAAACGTCCAATTGACAACTCAAATCACTTTAAAATTGAGAAAAAAATACCAAAAGGTCTGAATAACAACATTAACTTACAATTAAAGTCTCGTTCAACTCCTCTAAAAGTAACAAAGATTGCCCTAAATATAACAAAGGTTAGTAAGACGTCCAATTGAAAGCTCAGATCACTTTAAAATTGAGAAAAATACCAAAAATACCAATAATAACATTAACTTTCAGCTAAAGTCTCGTTCGATTACCCTAAAAATAACAAGGACTGCCCTAAAAATAACAAGGACTAGTAAGAGTATGTACATTGGCTTCTTAAATGTAAACTATGTCAGACTTTTCAAACTCTTCAAATTTTGGGAGCAAAATGTTGGAGTGGGATCAAATAGTACTCAATAGCACTCTCTCCATATTTGGCCAATGTTTAAAGGGTTGGGCCACAGTTATTGATCACTCTAACCATAAAAAGTGGACTCACAATTTATTGGGGATATTGCACTCCACCATTTTTTTCACATCACTCAACCATTTTATTTATTTCCAAGTCTACCTTTCAACTTCACACTCTCACTACTTAAATAAACAACAACAACAACAACAACAACATAATTTGGTCTTTGTGGGTACGACACCCTTTGAGAGAAAAAAGAAACGATTGGAGAAAATGAAACATTTATGTACCGATATTTTAAAATGTATTTTATACCGATTTACCTTACAAATCTCTGTACCCATTTTCTCAATAATTGTCGGTACCGATTTTCTCAATAATTTTTTGTGCCGCTTTTTTTTTTATTGTCTATGTTTCTGTAAACTAAGATAATATGGTCTTTTGATGGTGGCGGCAAACTGCGGGCGGACAATAGCGGGCAAGCGGTGGCTGGCAAGCAGTGGCGGGCGAGCGGTGAGTGAGCAGCAGACCAAAGCTGGGGTGGATCTCTTCCTTTTATTTTCGCTGTCGGTGTTTTCTATTTTCTTCTTAGAGCATCTCCAATGCTAAACTCAAGAAAAATCTAAAAAATCCTTTATTAGAATTGAAATTAATTTTAAATACTTTAAATTATATTTAACAAATAAATTTTAATTAAAATAGATGACCATTTATTATTAAGGTTATTTCACTTTACAACGAATGGAATTTTTTTTATCACTACAGATAAATAATTTATTATTCCAAGAAAATAACTAATCTTATATATAAAAGAAAGAAACACTGGGCAACCCTAAAAGACCCTAATGGTATTTCTGTAATTATTTATTTTTTAATATCTTTTCTCTACTAATTTTTAACTATAATTTTTAACAATTATCAAAATTAAAACTATCCCGTGAAGAATCCTACCTTATTCCTACTTATGTAATTATTTATTTTTAATATTTTTTCTGTACTAATGTTTTAACTATAATTTCAACAATTATTAAGAGATAAAGCTAGAAATTCGATTTGTTAAATCTTAGTCTATTTATTTGTAATATAAATCTTAATATGTAAAATTTTAAAAAACTAATGTTATATAAAATATGAATAATATTACATTATTAAATTTTACTATATTAGTATACTATATTTTCTTATTATGTATTAAATTGATTTTTTTTTACTATTTAATAATATCCCGTGCATCGCACGGGGAAAAATGCTAGTTTCATTAATTTATAATGTTTATATTCAATTAGGCATTTCAACAAATTATATACAATAATAATGTAATGAAAATTTATAATGTCTATACTCAATTAGGCATTTCAACAAATTTAATACAATAATAATGTAATGAAAGTAATTTTAAATTAAACATTAATCAAACCTATTACAATATAAATTACGATACAAAATTACAAAAATAAAGAAGTTACAAATCACATATGAAAATAAGACAACATAGAAAAAGAATATTATTATACCCTCCCCATCTCTAAAGATACTCCACAAATGATTCGTAAGATCGGATTGCAAGACTTCATTAGTTCCCCCATTGTGAATTCGACCAAGACGTGCTGAGATGTAAGATGCAAGAATTGATGGATTTCGACCATATTAGTGAGAAAAAATATTTTCTTCAGGTAAAGGTTCCGATAAGTCGTATTTAGTTTCGCGCATCTTCTATAATCATATTATGAATGATAATGTCAATTTTAGATAATAGAGATCTTCTTTTGACCAATATCGTACGAGTTCTTGAGTTATGCCCCACCTGATTTATAAAACATCAAATGCACGTTCCACATCTTTTCTGACAGCCTCTTGTTTTGTAGCAAATATTTTTTCTTTTGCAGTGGTCGAATAGGGAATGGTTTGAATGATAGTTGCATATTTTGGGTAAATACCGTCAGTTAAGTAATATCCCATCGTATAGGAATGCCCATTCACTGTATAATTGATTGGAGACATTCAGCCATATATGAATCTGTCGAATAATGGCGAATGATATAAGACATTAATATCATTATTTCCATCCGCCATGCCAAAAAATGAATTTCAAATGTGCCTACCCAAACAAAAATAGTAGAAAAATCAATAAAAGGCAAAAAATAAAGAAAGGTTATAATATAGCACATTTTCACTTATTGAGGTCAGGTCGAAAAAAAGAGTGATAATGAGGGATAATATTAAGGTAAAAGTAAACGAGAACCCACACAATTAAATATACATGTATTATTAATCGTCTATTATATTAAGGGTAATGATATACGCATGCCAAATTAAACATTCAGGCACTTTTTTACCATGATTTTTTACCTTTTTACCATAACTATTTACCTTTTGTACTATTCCTACCCAATAAAAAAAAAAAAATTAAATGTTATTGCTCGTGCAAAAAACATGCGAGCATTTCAACAGTGCTCATCTTATTTCACACGAGCACTGTTGAAATGCTCGCATGTTTTTGCACGA